GGGATAATCGCCACGTTCTGCGGGAACGTGGCAACTGCAACCCGTAGCGGGGAATCTGGTCGCTTGCGACGAGTTGCCAAGAAATCAAACTTGTTTGATTTTTATGGCGACTCGTTGGCTCGCAATCGCTCCCAAATTTGCTTGTCGAAATCGCACGGTGGTGGCGCACGACGCGGTGACACATCGACGACGCTTGCGTTGCAGATTGCAGCGACAAGGCCAGCCAAAAATCGCATGAGGTCTGCCCAGTGCGTAGCTAGGATTTTTTGCAGCGGGGGGGGGGGGGGGGGGGCACTTGGGGGGCTTAGCATTTTCGCGTAGAGGGGGGGGGGGCACAATATAATAACTTTCTTTGTATTATATCTGTTCTAACGCATTGTTTTTAATAGTAATTTCAATTTTTTTTTATCAGCGGGCATTTTTGAATTTCAGGTGGGGGGGGGGCCCACAAATAATTTGTGGGTGGGGCTTCGTGCCCCCCCAGAGGCCCCCCATAGCTATACGCGCGATGTCTGCGCTAGGCTTAAACCTTATCGTTTGCAATCTCCGCCGGTATATTCAGTGGGGGGGGCACAGAAAATTTGTGGGTGGGCTCGGCCCCCCGCCAGGCCCCCATGATCTAGAGTTAGTCCCATCATTCATTGCGCGCATAACATACAAACAAAATGGCCGCCTGCTGCAAGAAAAGAAAAGCCTTACTATTTTCATGAATCGCAGGTTGGCAGGTCTGTTAATGCGAATCGCGGCGACTATTGTCGGCAGTTGTTGTTGATGATGAATGTGGGTTGTGCAAGCTGACGAACACCGAGATATCAGAAGTACCACGGTTCGCCGGCCATAAAACCGGTCAAACTAGTTCAAATTAATTAGTTACTTTGAAAGAGTTCAAATTAATTTATCAACTGATTATTAATTAATAATTAATAACAATTCTAGCGGATTTTCGAAGAAATTGCAATCAGTAGTTGTCGTTCGTGAATGGTGAGAACCAATGTCATTATTATCTCGTTATCACACACGTAGATGGCGCCACGGTGTAGAGCTAATCAATGCACAGCGCAAAATCAAACGAGGGCAACTCTGGCAAGTAAGATGATAGGTACGATAAGCGATATCGGAAAGTCAAGCTGTGCTATTTAGGTCATAGAAAAATGGCCGAGGCGCGCTTAGGAAAGCACATGATTAATGAGTAAACACTCGTGCATTTTTAGTTTTTGCATTAACACAAACATTGCAAAATATCCCAAATGACCATACCACAATCATATTTTGTAAATGTTTCTGTAAACTTGCGAATTGAAGTACGATGTTAGTGAAGAGAATTATAGATCAAAACCCTAGACTAGTCCTATCCTAAGATTCCTAACCATGTTATATATAGGCAACTTATACCGCCACATCTGATCTCAATATGGCGGCGGGGACTTTCCGATATGGCTTATCAGCAGCTGCCGTGCACTAATTGCATTAATTACTGGTCGACCAGATCTTGTCGAAAATCTGATCAATCTGACTTGATTATACATGTAAATCTTTCTCCGTCTATATTTCAAATTATATTTTATGAAATAATATATATATATATATACATACATATATTAATAATTATATATCTCCGGCTATCATGGACGTCGGTGCGCGTGCCAGCGATGTAAGCAAGGGCGAGTGAGTTACTAAAGAGCGCAAGCGGCGTGCGGTCGAGGTTTCGCGAATGCCATTCCGCCGTGCGCTCTTTCGCTCATTTTTTTTCCGCTAGCCGGTGCCGCATTGACGCATGCGCAACCGAAGAGACGGAGAAGCAATGCGTACGAAACGGGAGACGCGAAGATAGGCGATGAAACATGGAATGGAAACGACGCACGGAATCGGAGATGCGGAACGGAGACGGAGATGCCGAATGCAGACGGAACACGCACGGAATTGGAGATGCGGAACGGAGACGGAACGTGTGCGAAACGGTAGATACAGTGTGGAGACGAAGCGCAGAATGGGGAAAGGGAGACGAAGCGCGGAATTGGGAAACGGAGACGAAGCGCGTACGAAACGAGATGATGCGGAACGGAGATGTATCGAACGATCGACAGATGTACGGAGGAGCAGGGTATTCCAGGAATGAGTATTGTGGGAGGGCAGGCAAAATATTTGGGAGTGCAATTTTTTTGTATGTGTGTCTCAGCCAAGACCGTCATTGAGGGAGTACG